TTTTCTTTATTCTAGGCTTGATTATCCAAGTAAAATTGAATGTTTTACATTTTGTCTGTACAACAGTGCAGCATTTTTTGTAGAGTAGGAAAACTGGACACTTGACAACCTTCAACCCTTAGACTGTGATGCTTGACTGAGTCAAACCTGTTGTGCACCTTTCTAATGGGGCCCAGCACGGATTGACATTATTTACACTTAATGCTTCATAGGAGCAGCCCTGTACAGAGGACATACAGAAACATCCTGCCCTTGACTGAAAGAAAGAAAAGACCAAGTGTGTGTGTATCCAGAGGCCTGAGTGTATTTACTCCATATGCTGTTTGTCTTTCTCTGACATGTGAAGAGTTTGTGCTAAGGGAGGATTTACCACAGGAAGTTCTTCATCCCTGTACATGTTGGCTTGATTACAACCTGGATTTACCAAACCAGACTAGTATCATTAACACAATCTATTCACAGGACGTCCTCATAAAATATCACCTCCCCCCGTTTGAGCTGGATATGAAGCATGTTTCCTCTCACTACAAATCTTTAGTCATAGTGGAATGAAATATTTTCTTGTTTGCACCTGTACAAAGTATTCAATTATGAAATATAGTAATCAAAATAGACTTTTAAAATCTAATGTCCAAATAAGGAGATCATCTGAACATGTGACCTCACCTGCAGGAGTCTTGTTCATTCAAAGTGAAAAGTGGAGGGAGTGAAAGGGGGGAGTGTCTTGTATTTTTATGCTAAGTGCCCCTCATTGCTCATCTCCACTAGGACTTTAGATGCTCTGGGTCTTTCATCTGTCGGTCTGCTTTGACACAGCTCACTTGAGTTATTCAGCTTTTCAGACTTTCTTAGGCAGTAAAAAATAAATAGAAATGGGCTGTGTACAAAGTTTCAGGGACTTGTGTGACCGTCCAAAAAACACCAATGTCCGTATGAGTCTTCCAGCAGTTTGTGTTGTGTGGCAGACGGCTATGATCATCTTGTTTGGGGTGTTTATTCGTTACAACGAAGAAGCGGATACACACTGGATAGAGCACCGAAAGGCTAAGAATATATCAAGTGACATCGAGAACGACTTCTACTTCA